AGGTGTCTCATATTTTGTGATCATTCTGTGAAGTCGGCTGCTACAGAACTGTGTTGACACACATTCATGGCAACATTTGACACAGACAAGTCATTAGATTACATTCTCCATGGCACCATTATAAAGCTGAGTAAAGAACTGCTCAGATTTCAAGTCCCACTTTTCAAAAAAATCATAGAACCCCAGAAGAGTAAAATTGTGCGACATAGGCATTTTGCACTTTCATAAATATATATTTTTGGTGACACCATTCTGGGACACAATTTTAATGGAAACACTACAGGAAAATTGCAGGGACTCAAGAGAGTCATGCGCCACATCTCTGTAGGTTGTACCACCTGCCATTTTTCTGTCTTTAATTCAGTGTTTCTCAAGCTGGTCCTCAGGGACTTTCATGTTTTTGCTCCCTTCAAGTCCACATTTGTGCTTCCTCTCAACTCTCACAGACCTGGACCGTCTGGGGGTTCTCGAGGACCGGTTTGAGAAACATTGCTTTAATTTAAAAATTTAAAAAGTTTTTTTTTAACTGAATGAAATTGTGGAAGATGTGTAGGATAAAGAGACATTTCAGAAGTTTCAATTTCAAATGAAGGGGCGACCTGCTCTCCAGTTAAGTTTAAAGCAGTACAAGATGCTCAGAAGCAGAAAGTTGTGAACAAAATACAAAAAACAAAGGAAAAAAGGAGGAAGGATGTAATGCTTTCTTGATTTACTGCCAAGTAGGTAAAGCTGGTAAGAGATAAGTAGAACTGGACCTTTTCCCATTATTTTTTCAGTTTTTAGAGATTTTCAAAAAAGCTTCCTAAAGGCCAGCACTCTTCAAATTTGTCCCCTATTTGTGTCACGCCCTTCTGAATAGCAGTGAGAGCTTGTATGGATTTCAGATGGTTTGGGCAAAAATTGTGGAAAGCACAGTAGGGAGTGTCATACCAAAATAGGTGTGATTACTCAATTGGTCTTTAAACAACATCTTAGAACTAATATTGGGGGAAAAAATCAAGCATTTTATGAGCTTAAATTATTAAAATCTACTTTAAGATTATTTAGATTTCGAGGCATCCACAGTAACCCTGAAGAAGATCTGTAGGTGCCCAATGACATTCCCTAAAATGAGCCAGGAAACCCAAAGGGTTAAATCAGGACCTAATTGTCAACATGGGAGGGGTATGGATACACTGGTAGGTTCCGGGGGCACAGCACTTGACAAGGGCCTTTGAATCACTAAAATTATACGTAACATTGGGCGGGGAGACCCAAGGTAAAATTTTGTTAAATTTTGGTGGTGTCCAGAATTTATAGGATACCACAGATTGCAGCTTTAAATGATGGATGACAGGTGTCATAAGCTTTTGCTGTCTTAAGCATGACAGCAAAAAATTTACTTCATAACGCATCATGGCATTTATCATATGTATAATGACTGCTGTCACAGATGTCAGGATGTATTATTGCATGCTTATGACAGTGTCATTGAGGATTTTTGGTTTGTCCTAGTATAACGTTTAATGTCTTTTTTCCATCTGCATACAATAATTCTGCTAAGACTGTGTCAGATGCTGCTGTAAGTGCGCCACTCAAATTCATTCCAGGTAGCATCTGTATCATCAGACTACTAGGCAGTCCAGCATTCTCAGAAACCAGAATATTGTTGCACTTTGCCTGCTGCATAGTAACGCATATTTCAAAACAATGAATTTAACTGGGATCAAGTGTTCTTTATTCTAAGGTTTGTCCCAGAAAGACCAGATTACTCAGGCTTTGAGTTTAATGCCACTTGTTTCTTCATTTTTTACCCTTTACTTCCAAATTCCCTGAGTGATGATTGTTCTGGGGGATAACAGATTTAACACATAAATCCCTTAATATGCCACCTGCAACAGCATGCTACATTCAGTTTAAGTAGGTACTTATTTTTGGGCCGCTCTGGACTCAGCAGTGTACCATCAGGCAGTGTTTTATTATGGCTATTTCAAATTAAGTGGGCCACAGAAATGTGGCTTCTATTTGTTTTCATTTATCCAGGTGACAAAATAAAATGCTTCCAGAACTCATAATGGAATTGACTTTGACTGAACTCCTTGGATAGAGGTACAGTAGACATGCAAGTAGGGTGACCAGATAATCCATGTCAGGGAGGACACTCTGAGCTTGGACAGGAATTGTAAATTACCATTTCAATTAAACGGACCTGGATTTCACTTGAGCACTGAGTTCTTGTTGTGTGCTGATTGGTCAGTCTCCTATAATCATGCATGTGTCACTAATGCTAATGTGAAACAGCTGGATGAGTCTTTCAGTCAAGGAAACAAACTAGTCAAAGCACAAGAAAAGCTGAACTATTTGGGCGAGCACAGGAGCCTTTCAATTTGAAAGTAGTTTGTAAAACCCGAAGTAGCTCAAAGTGTCCTCCCTGACATGGATTATCTGGTCACCCTACATGCAAGAGGCTTCAGTACTTCAGGCTTTATTTTATTTATTCATAATTTATCTTCCTACTAAGGGTGGTTCATTGGGTATACTGTGCTGTTTTGCCCCTTTGCGGCTGATGGTTCAAATCCCAGCTCGGCTCCGAGATTATATGTTCTGAGATATAAATGTTTCTTTCCATAGTCACGTGACACCACTATGAAGTTGACTCCCATTTCATCCGATTTCAACCAAACCGGTCTCAATCATCCGTGCTGCTTTTGTACAAGTTTGTGCCATTGAAATTTTCACTTGTGCTGCTTTGGTTTGTGAGATATAAATGTTTGTTTACATGGTGACTTCACTGCCGTGTGTCCCCGTCCAAATTCCTTCTCCTTGTAACGCGCTGCTCAGCTGTTTCTTTGATGTTACAGTTTCAAGTTACCCTGTGAGTTTCAAGTTCACCCTTGCTGCTGCAAGGGTTTCCATCAATAAAATTGTTCATATTTTAAAAAGCTGTGTTTATTTGAATTATAATAAAAATCATTTTAGCTTGATAGTATAACTGACAGGTTTTATTACATTGTCATTGTATATGCAGCTCGATAGTGATGTTTCAGCGATTATAACTGTATATTTAGATTGATAAGAATTGCTTCACTGACATCTCTTATTAATTATGTATATTTAGTTACATAGTGACACCCATCCATTTTCTGAAACTGCTTATCCTATTCAGGGTCACGGGGAGTCTGGAGCCTGTCCGGAAGGCTATAGGCACAAGGCAGAGAACAAACCTGGTTGGGGCACCAGCCCATCGCAGGGCCAACTCACCTATGGGCTATTTGGTAATTCCAATTAGCCTCAGCATGTTTCTGGTCTATGGGAGGCAAACCAGAGTGCAAAGAGGAAACACCACAATGACATGGAGAGAACATGCAAACTCCACACACATGGAACCCTGGCGGAGACTTTAACCCAGGACCCAGAGCTAACACTGCACCACCATGCCACCCCTTCATAGTGACATGTTTACCGTATATAAAATAAATGTACTAATGTTTTTTAAAAAGCTTGTTTTAATAATTATTATAGAAAATCATTTCCTTTGTTAGTATGTCTGACATGTTTTATTAGATTATCAATGTATATTCAGCTCCATAGTGGCAGCATGCGTTTATCCATTAATAAAATATGTTTACAAATTTTTGAAAAAAGTGTGTCTGGATTATGTGTAACATAATTAGGTCTGCAATAATATGTATATCTTTAAAGCTAAATCCCTAATATTATTGATTAATAATTGTTAAATATTGATTAATAATTGTTAAAATCATACTGGTTAGGGGAACATGTAGCTATGGAGTTGAATACATGGTAGTGATCAATAATACATGTTGCTATAGAGCAGGGTCCTTCAAATCTGGACCTCAATTCCAAAGCCTTGTTTTCAGTTCTCCCAGGTAGTTAGTTTAATAATTACTGATTCTGATTGGCCAGAGGCTTCACACCTGGCTCACAGGTAAAGGAAGGCTGGAAAACCAGCAGTGCTCGGACCTCGAGGACCGTGATTTGAATAATAGGGCTATAGAGCATAAACTGAAGCAGCACAAATGAAAATTTCAATGGCACAAACTGGCACAAATGCAGCATGAATGACTGAGACGGATTTGGTTCAAATTGTATGCAAATAGGGGGCCAACTCCATAATGGTGACATCACCATGTAAACAAGCATTTATATCTCAGAAACTAAAGCAGCGCAAATGAAAATTTCAGTTGCACAAATGCAGCACAAACAATTCAGATTGGTTTGGTTAAATTCTGAAATGTATGAGACCCCAACTTCATTCAGGTCCTAAAATAAGATTGGTGTACTTTTCCTGGCAAGTAATTCTTGAAGTTCAAGAAGAATGTGTCATATTCACTTGCGGCTACGTTATCAAAAGTTACAGGATTTTATTAATAATTCTATTTCCATCTAGGTCCTTCTCAATACATTTTATTGCGGTGTTCGACAATATTTCCAGAACAATCTTTGGCAAACATCATTAAAAATTATTTGAAAGTGGAACATTTGAAGTCAGAAGTAGTCAACATGTCTGTTCTTTTGTCTGGTGCTATTTTAGGTGTAGGGACAAAGTGCAAGAAACAGCATCACTGACAGCTTACGTAAAGGTATTTTTGAAGGGCATTAAAATGAAGTAAACTTGCTGTCAGGCACTGTGATTTTCATCACTCCTACTTCAATTCCTTGTTTGTGTAGGGGTGGGAGGGAGAGGATACACTTGTTATTCTTTCTACTATGCTTTCTTTAAAAGTAGGACAGCTTCTGAATAATGTTAGGTTTTGTATTAAGAACACATCGTTACAGTTTAATGTAGGGTGTCCTTCTTTTATTTTGCTTTAACTGGTAAAAATGTGCACATTATTATTATTATTATCTTTAAATATTTGCTTATGTATGCATTATCTTTGCACCTTGCCTTTTTGTCAATGCACTGTTTTCTTGCTACTGTATGCATCAGATCTTAAGCTTAATCTTAAAATGTCATACCCTTAGCGTTATATGGTGCGGACGGATCTGAGGCCTACCTTGGCAATCTGGACACACCAGTTAAGTAGCAGCTGGGAGCCAATATGGTCCTTATGCTCATGCACATAGTCCAGTAGGCAACCATGGGGCATGAGCTGTGTTACCAGCTGGATTGTGGGACTCAGGCAGACACCCAGAAGTCGCACCAGGTGAGGATGGTCCATGCTGGCCATGATCAGGGCCTCCTGGGGGTGAGCAGAGACAAAATGATTTCATGTAAGACATGATGCTAACACTTTCCCGGCCAGTGCTGGTTGATGCCCATGTGGAGCCCTAGGCAAGCTTTACATCAGAATTAAGTTATCAGACCTGCTGCAAACAGACATTTTGACACCTAGTACGCCTTTCCTCAATCAGAATCGCATTAAACAAATACAGGAAGCTCCGAAGTGTTTTTAAGTGACATATCCTATTAGGTCTGGGAAAAAAACCACCATATGTTACGTTTAAGTAATATAATTAATTTCCCCTGGAACCAGCAAGGTATATCTTATCTTATCTTACAAATCTATATCTGAATTATTGCAATATTACAGTATTATGAACCGAAACACACTGTAAGCTGCTATAGTCAACATCTACACTTAAACCTCATGTATGGCCAAATTACACACAGCAGCTCATGTTTGCAAACCAACAAATGGTTCTGGGTTCTCCTGTTTTAAGTGGAGGGCCAAAATTCCTCCGTTGCCAGAGATTGATCAATATATACAGAAGGTGTTTATTTGCAGTAATTGCCTGTAAAGTTAGGCATTTAATTAGAGTAGTGTGAGGATTAGTTTTTCACAGGGGCCAAATATTAAATTCTGACTAGAGTCTGATAATCTGTTTAAAAAAATAAAACGAAGAAATATGGAAGAAAAAAAACTACTTTTTTTTGTATCCAAATGGAATGCTTGCAGGACTGGTAAAGAGTGCCAGCATTGATATTGCATACAACCTAAAGTAACCTCTTCTCTCAGAGTGTAATAACAATGATCCCTTATACTAAGAAAAAACATGAGCATTGCTCCAAACAGCATGCCAGGATAGAAGTAGCTTCAGGAATCAGTGTGTGACAGCTAATAATCATGCCTGCCCTTAAACCACTTCTAATAAACAGCAATTAAACCTTCCTTTGTGGAGATAATTGCCTTGCATGACCAAATTCTGAATTAAACTGTTAATTTAATGATTTATTGGTATATGTTAAAAATATATACCATATAGTTTTATGCTTGAGTTCTCTCTAATGCTGAGATAGAAGATAAATAAATGGCGAGTATTGCTTGTGTGTCTTTTCCAGTATGTGTGTGTCAATCTACCCATGAGGAGTGAGGTTTGGCTTTCTCTATGTATGCCACTTTGGGTTTGGATATGTGGTAACACTTTACTTGACGGGGCATGAATTCTTAGTAATAACTCAGTTACTACTGAAGTACAAATTATGAACAAATCATGAACAAACACAGTCGCAACTTGAGAAATGCGTCACGATTCATTAATGATGAACAAATATGAGATCAGTATTTATCTTGTGTTATTCATTACTTCTTCCTTTGGTAGTCCCTTCAGTTATTCACAAAGGTTTACAGAATTAACAGATAGTAACAAATATAGTAACCGCTTGAGATATAACATGCATCACAATTCATTAATGATGAATAAGCATGTGATCAGCATGTAACCAAAACTTAGTTTGTAGTTAATTAATACATAAGGAATAGTGTAATGCTATATTATTTGTGCTCTATCAAGTAAAGTGTTACCAGATATGTATTTGTGGGTGTCCTTGTGTGTGAGCCTATAGCAGGAGATGCTGATGCCTCCAGAATATACTGTGACTGTCAGCACTGAGATCATATCTCCAGCAAAGAAAAGATATTTTAAGAGACTACCTCAGAAATAGACGAAGTACCTTTAAATTTAGATATAGAGAGGCAGGAACCTTACCAATGCTGTGTAATGTAGATGAATAAAGTCTTGTCAGAGATATTTCACAAATTAAAAAATGGTAAATAAATTAAGGAGTATTTATAAAAAGAATTTAGAGTTTGGTGATCAGTGGTCATTGTTGACACACCACAGCACAAAGTGCACAACAATGAAATGTGTCCTCTGCATTTAACGCATATGTGACATTGGTATACAGCAGGTTAAACTACATTATTTAAGTAGTGTTAAATTTATTGTGGCTTTTATTGATTATGCAGAGATGGGCAGTTAGGGTTAGGTTTTAGTGTGCTATGCCAGTGTATAACACAATGGTAAAAAAATACTGGCCACAAAAAAAAGCTAAATACATCAACCAAAAATATCTGTTTTTATGTACAGCCTGTGATGGCATAAAACAAGCAGGCTGTGTGTGGCTCTGTGGGTTAGGACTCCTGTGCCTGGCCGAGTGGTGATACTGTTGGGCCATTGAGGAAGGCCTGTATCCCCAGTTTGTTCAGGGGTCCTAGATGACTCTGATCCACACGTGCATGTTGCTTTGGAGAAAAGTAACTTTTCAGTTTTTTATAGTGGATACATTTCGAATGTGGTGGTTTAGATGTGTTTGTGTATGTATGTGTGTGTGTGTGTGTGTGCATGCACATAGAAAAATACGGACAAGAATCAAATTAAAACTGTCAGTGTATGCAGTGGTGATTGTGTTACTGTATGCATGCTGATTTGCCCCATATGCTGATGATAACATACATATAGTCTCTCATATTACTTGAGATATCACAAAACCATCAAAAGACTAAGTACTGGCTAAAATATTAAAAACTCTCAAAACAATTTCGCTAATAGGACTAATGCGAATGAAACGGTGCCCTGTGTTTCATAGAAACACAATTATTTCAATAGTGATTTACAATAAAGGACATTTTTGTTCTATACTGAAATCTTCAACAGGACCATCCCTTATATGTGGGGACATAAAATAGCAGCATGACTAGAAATTAGGAAACATTACATGCAATAAAAATGCAGATGACGCTGCTGAAATGTATGTTAATGAGCACTAGGACCCTTTCTTTTGACAGGCACAACAAGGCAGTCTGTATCCAATTAGTGCAAGCCAACCCAGATGCCTCTGTTCTAAAATGGTAACATAGAATCACGGTACATTTTGATTTCACTAAATAGAGGACAAGTTATGGAGACCCTTCTTTCTCATCTGCATATAACCCTTCCCTTCACTAATTGTGGCTCAGAAAATCTGACAGGGAGATTGCTCATCAGGCCTACTAGCTTCCTCTTTCTCCCCTACACAGGTACAATGACACAAACCTCTGCACTTGTGTGACGCAAAGATGAGCTAAAAATGGCTCAGTCGTAATTTCTGTGCTGTCGTAAAAAGGGACACCAGACTTGGAATGTCAGTGGTGCCTTTAATTGGAATCAGACACCTTGAACAAAACGTATAAAGCCAATGAAAAACCATATAAATTCATGCATATACCTTAAAATATACACTGTTTCACTCAATTTTCTGTTTATTAACCACTTTTTATAATTGAAAAAACTGTCCTTTCATGGTCATACTTACGTCCATGAACTCCACATTGGCCTTGGGTCCCGTTGTCTCATTCAGTATCTTTACTGCAACAGGAATCTTTACTGTTTCCCCCTCTGGCACCCAGATACCCTGTGTGTGACACAAGCAGTGAGCAAAAGCAAAACGTATGCCTTAAACTTGATCAAGAACAAACTCACGCATACACAGAATGCATCTGAGTGGAATGATATTTTTTGCGTAATAAAGCAAAATATCTAAATGGTCAAGACAAACAAGATCAAGTGTTTGAGGCTGTCCTTCTCTTTGCTTTCTCTGTGTTGCACTGCTTTAATTTTTATGTCTAAAGTTGGTCACTTCCAGATCTTCCCCTATACAATGTATCTGCAAGTTTGAAAAAGATCCATAAAAAACATTTATATTTACTTTGTTCACAAGATCAAGTGTCTTCTACACTCCCCCTTTAACTTTGATACCACACAACACTGATGCTTCATTTCTGGGGTAATTTGTCTCAAAATGAAATCAGATGTATATCTTCATCTGTGCAACATTTTTGTGAAGCAGTAATAAAATCCATCAAATACTTTTTGACTTATTACAATCACAATGTCAAATGTCCCTTTGCTGCTACTAAGCAATGTTGTTTCAGTTAATTTGTTAATTTGTCTAAAACTTAGATCAGTCCCAATTGTTCACCCAAACATTGTTTGATAAAGATTTGTCAAATATTTTTTGAGTTATCACGTCAAAGAGAAGGTGTTTGCAGTGGACCAGTCCCAGCCATGGCCCCTGCGCATGGATGACACGCAAATATATATTATTATAAGTGTCAAAGCAAATATGACCAACAGCTATAGGATCTTTTTATTTTTTCCTCAGTCTTCCAGAAACTCCCAAGTGAAAAAAAGTCAAACTTTTATTTTTTACATAAATGGGAAATCAGGTTACCTTATAGACTATGCCGAAGGCCCCTGACCCCAACACTTTCAGCCGCTTTAGCTCTGTCTCCTTCAGTATGCGTAGTTGAGCTTGGTTTGGGGCTGTTCCACTGGGTGTAAGGGGCTCCACCAGCTATGTGAGAAATTGGAAAACAATCCTATTGATCAGTCACACAACTGACCAGTAATGCATGCCATATCAAAATATATTGCAGAATTATTAAGCAAAGTAATACAACAGTATTATAAAACAATACTGTACAAACATATTTATAGATTGAAGCTTCCTAGTACTCTTGAACGGCAAGTAAAGAGAGTTTTCCACAAAACTGTTCCTTTCCTTATGAAACAATACTTTCCACATATTCCGTGCACCTATATTCAATGAATGAGTGAGGGGTATTGCATGTAATTGAAACTTTAGCTTGTAAACACCACAGGTCACACCAGTGAATAATTGGTGATTCTCAAACAGCAGAACAGCCAGAGAGAAGATAATGGCAGCAGATTAAGTAAAGTACGAGCTCATTTTCTTTCATTATGAGTCAAGAGGTAATAAGCAGGGCTAAAACACAAACTGGGACTGTTGCCACTTCTCCATTTAACAAAAATTTGAAATGAGAAACTGTAAAAGATGAAACTAGATGAAACTGTAAAAGACACTGATTGTAGCTGATTGAGTAACCAATCCTGACCAAGAGCTATCCACAGCTGAGGTGCTAAGTAACAGTCCAAGGACTGCAGATGGTACATTGTCAACAAAAAATTCTGAATGGCTATGCAATAAAGTGGATTGTGATTTTAATAGCAAATGACGACAGCAGGCGTATCACTGAAAACCATATGAATTATGCCTTGACATCTGCAATGTGTATGTGCCTGTGTATGTGTTGATATGCAGCTGTGCTTCTGGACCACAATGTCCCACAATAAGTTAAAAATACATTCAGACAGGCAGTTCAGCTACAATGCCAAACCTGCTGGCGCAGACAGGTCTGGAACAGAGATGGGGTCTCTCTGGTTTGTCGATGTGGGGGGGCAGAGAGACAGATAATAGTGAAACGCCTGGCCTGCTAAACTGTATGCTGTTAGAAGCACCGGTTCACCTATGAGCTGTGACTCACACTTCACTTTTTTAATCTCATCCATGAATAGATATAGATGTGAGGTTAAAACCATTTTCATTAAATGTATCCCAGAGTGGGGAAGTCAGAAGGGAGAAGTGAGAGCGTGCAAATTGTATTATGACAGATTGTCCATTCTGATCGAATATGGTTGTTACATCAGGGTATGAGAATGAGGAGTAGAACAGAATGAGCTGCCCATTCCACCCATTTACCAACAGAAAAAAACAGACTGAACTATCCCAAGCAGCAATTCTTACAAATAGAATTTTATTCAGGAGATTTTAATTTTATGCTTTTATTGTTTCACTTACCTCTGCATGACTGCAGCTGATTAGGCTCAGAAAAGTATCAATTGCAAAAAATAATGGAATTTATTTTATTTACTTATTGCATTTTTATTTATGTACACAACCTGCTATAATTACTCCCGGTATATTGTCTAAACTGTTTAGATTGCAATGGTGACGAGTCTGTAACCTTAATATATGTCTACACGTGATCTACCTGTGCATGCTGATACCAGCCTTGGGCCCACACATACATTAATCCACCCCTGGTCCAGGTAAATTAGAAACATCAATTTGCCTGATCGGCAAACTCCACATGCACAGGGCAGAGGTGGAACACCCTATAGCTGCAATACAGTAGTGCTACTCACAGAACCACTGGGATATGTGAGGTATAGAATTTTGCCATAGAAAAACTGTTGGTGCTTTTCCAATGTCATCAAAAACGGAGCCGAACCCCATTTGTACCTGTGCTGATATGGCCCTGCTTACTAGTATGTGTGAAAGCATGAATAAACAGAGCTGGTTGTGTCACCACCATCTGATTGGTTAAGATGCATGAAGATACCATTGATCTGCATTGATATGCATGGATTATCTGAGGGAAAACACGGCATATTCTATATAGTATTCATTTTTAGTAGTATCGCACATTGCAATGTATTGATGCATTCTCGATAACATGGAATTTGAAAATTTCCCCCTACTTAAAAAAGTACTATAGCACAGCTGAACAATATGGGTTTTGAATACAAATGCACTCTATCAGTGATGGGATTTAATCCGGTGACCTTCCTGTCGTGAGCATGAGGACCGCACACTGCCCCACAGAAAGTGGTTAAAGTTCCTTGGCACAATCCCCTACCCCAAACATTAAAAAAGTTTCCCTTTTTTTGACCTTCTTCTGCTTTGAGAATTCATTTTGCAGTGTATTATCATGGCAATGAAGTTACTGGGTGGTACAGTTGGGAGGAAGGTTATTGTGCAAATCAAATTTGTGGGTCGGCACCATTTCAAAACCTCACACAAGACATAAAAAATACACATGCACATATTATTGTGCCTGAAACGGCATGTTACTATCATACATTCAAACATGTCCGGCAAATGACAACCACTACTTATCTCCTATCTGCTAATGCCCAAAAAGCATAGCTAATGTCAGCCAGAAAATAGTTTGTTAGTTGTGTTCAAAATATGTGATATGGAGATTCAGTTTCCTTCTTATACATGCAGTAGCACATTTACTTGGTTTGCAGTTGTAAAAAGCTAAGCATAGATAGCCTTGCTGCTGAGATTGTGAATGTGTGAAAGAAAAGTGAATGTCATGACATGACTACTCATTGATGATATGTAGAGTTATTGGTAGAAGATGGGAATGGGGGAGGGTATTATGGGATGCAATCTGACACGGGAAGTTTGCTCATTGGTCAGATTACCCTGACTGCAAGTTTACTGCAAGTTTAACAACATGTTATTCACAGTCAAAGTAGGCATGTTATTGGTTGACTGAATAATTCATTTATATGGTACGTTACATTTTCACAAAATATTCAATAGGCACATGCCTACCTAAATTGCTTGGCACAACACTAGTGGTGGGTAGCACTGTCTGCAGGGTCGAGGGTTTGAACCCTGGCTATGATGTGTTTGTGTAGATTGCATGTTTTGTCTGCGTCATGTGACTAAAACATACAGCTAGGGTGTCGGTACGCCCTGGTATTACGTTCTTGGTGTCCCCTTATGCTGCCTGGGTTAGGGTCCCCCCTGCCCCCACCCCCATTGACCCTAACTAGGATAAGTGCTTGGAAGATGGATGGCTGAAGTTCTTACACTTTTATGATCTTATTTGAACTTTTTAAAACAAATTCTTCACACAATGATAATACCTATCCCTTTGTAAAGCAATTCTTTCATTATCTTGGGTGAAGGATCACTCTTAATGCTCAGTCTAGCATTCTGTTCCTAACCACTACACCACATTAATAGAATGCACCCCAGCAACATGCTGCTCTCAAGTGTCACTCTCAACTAATATTACACCATCCACCTCCATGAAAATAACATCCCAAGTAAAGCTGAAATGTATGCATATGTATTTCTTCTGCTACAACTTGCTAACAGTATGCTTCCATCACCTCCTCAGGCTAATGGTGTTCCCACCACTTTCCAGAACACATGATGAGTTCTCTCCATTGTTTTAATGAAAATTCACAATGATGCATTCGATAGAATTTGTTGTGACAAGTGACTGAGAATGTACCTGTGTGATGATCATTTTAGATTCTAATCACATTCCCTATAGGCAAGGCATTGTCCACTAAGCACTGATATGGGTTTCTGACCTCTGTCTCAAGAAAGCGTCTCAGGGCCCTCTTCTTCTTGATGCTCTTGCGCCGAACGTAGACGGCCATACTCAGGGCTAATATTACTACCACAAACAAACCCCCGATCACCCCAGCTGCGATAAGGGGGGTCCTGCAATGAAGAGAGGCAGTGTAAGACAGTAAAAGTACATATCCTCCTGAGATCCAAGGCAAAAAAAAGGTTTTTCAATTTTTTTTTATTTTTATTTTTACATAAATTAAGTGTTGGGATGGTGAAAGGCATACCCCCACATATGTGATGTCATCTTAACTGTCCTCTTTAAGGAACAACGGGACCTAAAAGAGTAGCATGTATAGTATGAAAGATATGAGCAAAAATGTAATGTCCTCTACAGAGGACAAAAATTAATTGCTGGATCTCAGGAGGATACTGTCTTTATAAATATTGCTAAACCAAAATAAACACCAGGCAAGACAGTTATAACTCAAATTTTAAAAATTGCAAAAGCAAAGCATTTATCTTTAAGCATAATACTTTTGCCCCAGAAGCCCAGAAAGTAACAAACCATACATTAATTTGTAAATACAGATGTCATCGTAACAGGACAGGAAAAGATTATAGTTTGGACAAACAGAATACTATAAAAAGAGATGGGACACAATTTATAGCTTAAGTCTAAATGGCAGCTGGGAAAAATGTGTATATATTATCCATTTAAATTTGTTCAGTTCTACAATTTTGGGTAGAATCATGGGTGGAATCTATGTTGATATTTCAACTGTCCTTGCATGCTGACTTGGGAGAGTGCATAATTGTGTCTATGCCCATTAAGGTTTTGCAATCAGTCATCCAATAAATGTAGGCTGATACTTGCTACACCGTTGTACAAAGGCAAAATACCATAACTGCAAAATTGAGTTATGATAAAAATTGGGAGTATTTAGCCCTGTTTTATCTTGTAACAAAATATCTTAGCTTAGGTATGCTCATTTTTGAAGAAAACACAATCATTTACCTACATACTAGACATATGGATGGACAGTCAAAAAATTTGAAGCCATTTTTCTCAGAATAGGCTTCGGGTGACTGCATAGTTATTGTGATTTGCCTTTATAGGACAGGACAGTACATTAATGTATCCATACAATAAAAACATTTGAGCTCAGTATTAAAAATATGTGAGCACTGTTTTCAAAGTGTAATATTTGCGAGATTAGACTTACCGCTTCAACAATATATTCTTGTATTCAAATGCATTAGTATCAAACACAGAAAAACTCTCATTCAGCTGGTTTCCTGCTATTTGTGGTATGCAATATATTTTTTGAGACAAAGGTTGATGCAGGCAAAAATTACCGGATATGTGGATAATGCAAAATTAGAAGATATACAGAAATGTATAGGAGTTTGTAAAGGAGATGCACAGACAAATGTCTATAATGAACTCCCCTTTGTCACCATGAACATCTTTCAAATGATACTATTGACTGAAACAATCATCTGGGCCCCTCACTACCTGTCTGGATCAATAATCTATAAAACATTGCAAGAAAAAAGAAACAGTGCCATTGTGTTACCCTATGCCATGTTAGTTGGTCAGTAAGCAACACTCAACTGATTGCAGAACTGAGGTACAGGGAATTTATAATCTCAAGTTGTCTATGTGAGTTACTGTTCATAGAAAAACAAGCACCCATTGTGAACAGCCCCTCAAAAATGCACAAAATGAAGTTCACTATTCCAGTCATGTTTATAGTCCATAAAATAAAATGTGAAGCAAAGCAGAACAACACAGAAACTGTTAAAAACCATCAATGATAGCAGTGACAGTAATGTACCAGGGGAAAGGATAACAAGATGGTCAAATAATGACAAGTACCTGTCCATCAACCCCACACAGTCTTGGATCCGTGGCCCAAGGCACCTGACAGTGAAAAAAGAGACACTTTTTGATTGAAACCAACTGCATCTGTGTACCTTCTATCAACAAAGACATCAATAAGTTCACAGTTTGTGGAGAGACCCAGAAGGCCACCAGAGAAAGTACAATGGCAATGATGTTTGGATTGAAGTAGTTTCAGCGCTAATGATCTTGCTGGGACTGGATCTTTCTACTCATTAGAATTTGAACATTTAGATGGATAATCCTAAACAAAGAGTGAAAACCACAACATTTGTGTGAAGCAGATAAAAATTAAATGAAGCATGAATCTATCTAATGGTATGATTTGACGTTCAGTCCTCATACAGTCGAGGGAAAAAATAAAACTTCCAGAAAATTCCAAAAAGCAAATCTTGAATTTGCCACATGCCAAACGGTTTGCTAAATCCACGTGAATGTAGTGATGTGTAGGTAGAAAGAGAATGAATTTATTTTCTCTATTTATGTTTTTTATATGCACTACGATGGTTGCGTACTGACTTTCTTGTCATTATTCCCTAAACAATACAGTAAAAGAATAATTTATATAGCATTTACATTGTATTAGATATTATACGCAATGCAGATATGAAGTATATGGGAGGATGTGCGTAGGTTATATGAAAATATTATGACATTTTATATAAGGGACCTGAGCATCCATGGATTTTGGTATCTGTGGGGGTTCTTGGAACCAATCCCCCGCGGATACAGAGGGCCTACGGTACTTGGAAAAGATCCCACTGTTTCACATGTTCAGAAATTCAGCAACTATTACAATATCCCAATTGTTATGACATTACTATGGCACTGGTAAGTAATGAGAAATAACAGCCTAAAATGGTGCATGTGAAACATAAACTGCATGCATGACGCAGTCATGTGTGATGGGGATGGGAACACAGAATTATCTTTTTTTTTTTTTTAAATGGGCCTGAGATGGGACCAGTACGATAAATACCATTGACTGCAAAAGAGAAAATGAGACTGAGCATAACTTAGAAAAGCAAAAACTAGCTTGTGGGTGGCAGAGCAGATGTCATTATAAGTTAACTTAGGGGGGCATATGAAAAAAGAGAAAAATGTTATTTTAAAAAGTATGTTGCAATAATGACACACACCCAGTCACCTGACATCTCTGCAGCCTTGGCCCTAATACATAACTTCTTAGTTTATATAGCTAACCAACCTAAAATGAAATCAACCTGCTTTTCACCTGAGTGAAAGAATACAAACAGGGGGTGTTTTGCTCAGTTCCAAAAAAGAAAAAAAAAAACAATTTCATTAAAATGACCTCCACATTATACAGCTTCAAAGTGTAATATAAAGTGTCTACCCTTTTGTTGTTGACAGTTTGTCTACCTATATATTGCACACATGCAACTCTGTTCAATTGATTTATTAAACGGGGATGAACAATATCAGTCTCCATTTTCTATGTAAAGTATTTGCCTCTTGTATGGATACATTAAGACTCTTTTTGTATACTATTGATTTACCATAAAAACAATTTTGGTTCTGTCATTATGAAAGTGAATCGCAGTAAGATCCTTAGAGCTGCATTATAAAACTGGTATTATTATCATATCCCTCACATGCAAGAACATAAAACATATATTCAGTTTAACTGCCAATTGTTTTAATTTGCCTGATCTGAGTCTGCTAGATATGAGCTATTTAAATTTTAATTTACTTTGAAATTGATTCATGCATCAAAGGATGTAATTAAATAGTACAGTCATAGTTGGACTGTCAGCCACAAATCTACATGGAATTTACTGTATCAATTTGTTATGCTGGCCTTTTGACAGATTGAATAAATTAACAGAAAGGGAAGAGCAATTTTCTTGTAAATAGATTGGCTAAATAAAATAATTTATATTTGACTGATGTGATTGTGACCTATTGATCAATTTCAGGATTAGAACCTGTTGGAAAAAGCCCTGAGAAAAATTGGTTATCATAATCCTCCATGAGTACATGCCTTCCCTTCAGGATACCTAGTCATCCTCCCACTCACAAATGAAGAAAGGGTTTCAATGCAATATAAGAAAACCAGTTGATTTCGTCTCCAAGACACAGATTACTGAACTCTATTAAAATTGTGAATTAGACTGTGCTGGGTGTGAATAAAAGG